AACAAGCCTTGTGTTCCAATATCATATCCAAAAGAGACATTAATACCTATCCACAGATTAATACTCAAGCCTCATTTTTATCATATTTAGAATGGGACAAACACAATCTTCCAATCAAGCCTAAACACGATTTGCAAACAAGGGGATCCCCACAGAATCTGTTCGGTAACCAAACAGAAGGTAACAATTCCATTCGAATGCAGGGAAACATTAGAAGATATAAAGTATAATTAAGGGAACACGTACGAGGAGTCCCATCTCCCGTGACAGATAGGTAGATAGATAGATAGATAGACACGCTACCCAAAAATCAATTCAAATATCAATTTAGTTCCTTAATCTGACTACAGGGCTGCACAGCACTGGATATTTGCAAAAGGCAAAAAATGAGAGCACTCACTGGATTTGGTGAAAGTAAATTCTGTGTATTCATTTTACATAGTACAAATCAATGTTTTGACCCAACTGGTTCTTTATCAAGTTTATGTCACGATAGTGACCCCTTCTCACAGAGTATAACCCAGAGGAGAAGGTATTACGTCGGCATTTACTTGCCGACTACGGTGCACATGCTCTGTATTATAAATGAGAGAGAGTTGTGAGCGGCCGGTGTCAGAAGGACTGTGCCGCTCACCGGAAGTGAGTGAAGAGGACGCCGTGCTGTGCGGGTCCGAGGAGGAAAGGTAAGGTATCGTTACAGTACCCCCCCCTCTAGAATCTGCCCTCAGGGCGGGCAGAACGCCGCCTTTCAAATAAACGAATAAACGAACCAGGCGAGGGGCGTGAACATCAGATGCATCCACCCATGAATGCTCTTCGGGGCCGTAACCCTTCCAATCCAAGAGATATTGAAGTTTCCCCCTATAAACATGGGTGTAACGGATCACCTGGCACCCCGACTGGGTACCTCCGTTGAAGGATGCTCCTAGCGCTTCCTGAGGACTCCAAGCACTGCAGCAGACACCACAACCACCAAACCGGAGAAGCATATGAATCCTCTCAAGCATATGAATGCTGTAGATAGTTGAATAGGAACCATACGAATAGGTTTACTCTCCTAGCAGTCAAACTGGAACAGCATACAATAAATCCTTCCCCCAATAATGAGACGACACTTCACTTTGAGGGTTAAAACAGGAACTCAAGTGCTGGCACACCCAGCCTGGTTTTTATTACAATCCACAAAACATAGTACAGCCCACGGGGCGTTACAAAACAACCAATCAATCCGTACAATACACCCAGACACTCCCACACAAAATCCTCCCCTCTGCAGGTGACATGATTACTGAACACAATGGGTAATCTCATTATCACCGGCAGAGGAATACAGTTTTTACACAATATTTATAACTTCTAAAATATACATGTCACAAACATAAAACATACATTTTCATAATCAATCCATTCAGGGCAACAACATATTAAAAAATGGCACGAATCAGACCAGGGGTTCAAAAGTTAAGGGGAAGTCCTTTGTGACTAAATGAAGCATGGCTTTCTGGCCCAAACCAGTTTCAGAGTCTTCTATCCTGGAGATAAGTAATTCAATTATCTCCCAGGACAGACACAAGACTCCATTAAGCACATGGTTGCAAAAGACACAAAACACTTTAAAATACATAAAGTCACATTTTACACATAACACACAGACATTTCACATATCCCCAGATAGCTGGGATCTGAGCGCACAAAACTACCGAATGGCGCTCAGATCCTATTCACACAGTTCAATTGCCATGGAGCCGAAGTCTTTAACTACACGAATGGGCTCCATGGCATAGCTATCTGGGTTAACACATTCACATAAAGTCTGGTCCATAGTCCAAAGGCAAGAGGCGGGCAAGCAGCCCCCTCCAAGGACACGTGGCGAGGCCGGTTTCGCCACAATGGGAATCTAAAATGGACTTCACTTCATATTCATTTTGATCCTCAACTACAGCAGGAAGAGGCTTTGAGGGTCTTTGAGTAAAACGATTACATATTAAAGGTTTGAGAAGGGAAACATGAAATGAGTTAGGAATCTTCATGGTAGGTGGCAAACGCAGTCTATAACATACAGGGTTGATGCGTTTGATGACTTGGAACGGTCCTATAAAACGTGGGGCAAACTTCATGGACGGGACTTTAAGTTTTATGTTACGAGTACTCAGCCATACTCTGTCTCCGACCACGACTGTAGGGGCAGCCCTTCGATGCATCTCTGCATTCATTTTTTGAATTTTGGCCCTTTGAATCAAAATATGTTTAACCCCTAACCAAGTCTCTTTCATATCCCGGACAGTGCTGTCAACACTTGGCACCCCTGTAGATGAAAAAGAACTCGGAAGGGTAGTAGGGTTAAAACCATCCTTGATTAAAAAAAAGGGGCTATGTTGAGTACATTCGTGCACCTTATTGTTGTGGGCAAATTCTGCCCACGGCAGCAACTCTACCCAATCATCTTGATGTTCTGAAGTGAAACAGCGGATATACTGTTCTAGACACTGATTCATCCTTTCCGTAACCCCATTTGATTGGGGATGGTATCAAGAAGAAAGATTAAGGTTGATACCTAATTGTTTACAAAATGCTCTCCAGAACCGTGAAACAATATCTTGGGGTATGCCATGTAAACGTACCACCTGCCTTATAAACAAAGAAGCCAGTTCAGAAGAAGAAGGTAATTTGATAAGTGGGACCAGATGAGACATTTTAGAGAATCTGTCTATAATAGTCAATATAACGCTGTGATTCTTAGAACGAGGCAGGTCCACTACAAAATCCATGGCAATCCTTGACCAGGGTGTATCTGGAATAGGCAATGACATGAGAAGACCAAAAGGACGGCCTTTGGGTGGATTAAGTAGAGGAACAGTTACTACATGATGATTTAGTAAAAAACCCTTTTCTGGGGCGGAGCTAAGCTATTGAACGGAACGGTCGCATGCCTGACGAGCTCCGACACCAGAAGCCTGTTTTTAAGGTTTTCAGTGACCCCAGATACCGATAAACGGACCCCACCTGGACCCCCAGGCAGCCCACACCGGCATGGGCCGGAAAATTAAAAAACAGAGGCCGGACAAGCCGAAACCAGGGGCGAGCATAGGAGACTTATGGCGGCAGGCGCATGGTGCCTCACTGCCCAAGATGGCGGCCTACATGGGAGAAAGCTCCGACTTCTCGGACGACCATAGTTTGGAGCCCCGGGATCTACAACCTCCTACTCCGAGAGAGCTACACCGGAACACTGTACCCACAACCTTAAAACCAGACTCATCACCAGTCACCAGAGCCGACATGCAGGAGCTGCTGGCAGGCCTGCGGAGAGACATCCAAATGGATATGGCGACTTTCCGCAAAGACCTACAGGGTTTGACTGGCCGCATGGGTACCTTGGAAAATGACTCCCACAATGCGAAGGCACAACTCACCCAACTACAACAAGAGGTGCACACACTGCAAAAACAACATGCCACCACGGAACAGCGGTTTGCAGCACTGGAGGACTCCAGGCGAAGCAAAAATCTTAAGATCAGGGGAGTAGTAGAAACGGTCCCCGACGCGGAGCTACCGCACTTGATAAGATGCCTACTAACGGCAATATTGCCCTCTAAACAGGCGAAATCGGTGTCACCCGAAGAAATATTCCGGATCCCGAGACCACAAAAGGCACCGGCCACAGCCCCACGCGACCTGATTATCCGTTTTCAATCAGGGCAAGACAAAGCAGCAGTTATGGGGGCACTAAAAGGAAAGACCCCCTACAACTTTGAGAACTTACTACTCACATTTTACACTGACTTATCAGGAAGCACCCTGGCGTGGCGCAAAACACTACAGCCTTTCACGCTGCTCCTCCGCGAACGGAGTATATCGTACAGATGGAGAGGATCCCGCACTCTAGCCGTCCTCCAAGGTAATATCTCTTACCCGGTCCAAGACCTCGAAGGGGCGGTAGCCATCTTAGAGACCCTGGGCCTTCCACAAGATTCCCTAAACAACAGAGGAGCAGGGATGGGGGCCGCAACGCATGTCTGGGACCCGGCCGGCACAGCTCCATTTGTACCGCGCAATTCCGCTGAAGACACCTACAGGACCGCCACAACCTGAACTCTAATCACTAATCTCTACAGAGAGCCACATACCAACCTACCAGCTTAACAGAGACACTTTTTTTTTTCTCTTTTTCTTCCCGACCTCACTCCCGCTAGTCCATACTGAACCCAGGCACTACCATTTTATGAGGGCCTGAGGGCCTATATCCCCCATGCTCGCCTGGATGCTGCTGGGATCCAACCCCCGTCGGACGCTATGGCAGTCAGCACGGACATTGGGACAATAGACTTGGGCCCCCCGGCATCGGGAGTGGGCTGACGAAACACTCACCTACCAGGGAAGACCCACCATCTACAAGCTGGGACTCACTCATCTACAGGTCTAACCCTGGCTCCTTAAGTTGTCCTCTAGAGCGATATAGCTGAGAGTTCCATTTACCTGTTTGTTCAACTTATGTTAACAGTTAAAGCATGTATCTTTGCATACCACTAGCTAAACGTAGTCATGCAGCATTTCCCGATGGTCCTTAAGTGCAAATCTCGATCATTACAAGTTTAGTTGAAGGTCTGAAAGCATGATCATTATTTTGATTATCATTGTACTACCAGACTAATGTTTCTTTTCTGTTGACTATTTTAATGTACTTCATATCCTGTGGCACTCCCGCAATGACTCCAGTAATTGTCTTATCCAGATCTGCTTAAGAAGGGCCACAACAGTCATAACATGTAGGACTTTTCTTTAATGATTCCTAGCTACGGCAGTATCTGTGTTCTCCTGCCACTTATTATTATCTAGCCAGGTAGTCACTGAGTATGACAGCCCGGGCCTCTCACCCGACAGAGCTAAGCAGTCAGATTATGTGTAGCCAAGCACAATGTCTCTGAAGTAAAACCTAGAGTAAACAAGATATATATATGTTTTACTCTCCGACCTCCCTGACGTTACTTCGTACTACTTAACTCATTGACTCTACACGGATACTGCACAGTACATCACTAACAATTAGTATTCCTTTTAATATTTTTACTGTGATATGGTGGCATACACTCAAACAACTAGCCTACGGTTACCTCTGCTAACTGCACATCTAGTTAACACAATCACTGTGCTCCTAATGCCTACATGTCACACCACAACCAAGATACACACGCACAACCTAAAGAGTAACTAGTTCTATTATATGCTCGTCTAGCCTAGCAAGTTATACCACAAACAAGATGTCTAACCGTATGATATTTTCATGTAATATAAAAAAAGAAAATGTGCCGTCTAAGCTGTCACGCTTTGTAATGTCATAGAAATGCTTGTAGAAACTGTTGTGGCTTTACAAGCTCGTTGTTAAACCATGCACAAGAAAAAATAAAGAATTAAAAAAAAAAAAAAAAAACCCTTTTCTTAGATTTTCTGTAATGTATTCTTCTAATACCTTATTCACAGCCATAGAAAGGGGATATACAGTGCCTCTAGGGGGCATAGTGCCAGGTAACAAGTCGATGGTGCAGTCATATGCACGGCGAGGAAGTAATTTTTCTGCCTCTCGTGGTTCAAAGACAGCTTTTAGATCTAAATATTGTTTGGGTATCTGGGTGGTCAAAGGTTCCATAGTAGGTACATTAATCAGACCATAAAGAAATAAAAATATATTAGGAGTATCTATAATAAGAGACTCCAAACTGATTTTAGATAGAGCAGTATATAAAGAGATATTCTATAATAAATGTGTTCCCAAATTAACACTGAGTCTCAATACATACACGTAAGCCTCTAGCCCTGATAATAGTCATGGATGCTGCAGGAAAATGAAAATGCACAAATGCTTTATTAAATTACCAAAAAATCAAAGCAGCAAAGTTCCTAGATGCGGGCAAGAGTATCTTACTGATTGAATCTACAAATAGACTGAGAGGGGGATATGCTAGTCATATGAATGAGATAAACTGCAGGTGAGTATTAAAGAGAAAGGGTCTAACAAGTATAAATATATACTAAGTTGTAATACTAATATTAACAAATAAATGAAGTACCCTGTAGAACTATATAGTATCCCTGCCGAGAAAAATCATCAGAATCCAATGGTTAAGGCTAAAAATTACTGCCTGATACCAAGGCTAAACTGCAACTATTAAACAAATACTCAAAAGCTAAAGAATGACACAGACTATTATTCATAGACTTGATCTAGTGCTACATGAGTATAAGTAGGACATCTAGAAATAAACAAAAAATAAATAAAGAGAGGAGCAGAGAAAAGATAAATATCTATAAAATCCCTAATGCTCCTAAAAATAAACGCCTTCGAGGGCGTTCTAGTCTGTCCCTAGATAATAGAGCAGATAGCCGATAAAGTATAGCTATAAATTCCCCCCCATATACAATAGGAGAATCAGTGCTAACAAAACATAAAATAAAATAATAAAGTGGTTCAAAATAGTGCCACCATAAGTGAATATAAGTGAAAACTAAGCTAAAGCCCGACGCGCGTTTCGGTGCTGCAAAAGCACCTTCGTCAGGGTATTAAACTGCAACTAAGAGAGACTGAACTTTTAAAGCTTTGAAGGCCAATCCCAGTGAACTCCAAACTAATTAGTCCATAACGTACCAGTGTGTAGATAACTAAGCTGTAGCGAGCGAGATCCATAAACTGTAATGATTGTGTCGACCACGTGATGTCGACCAAAGCAATGCTTCCATTGGTCAACGTATGGCATCATCATTAGACAGACCACGTGGTCATCCAGGGGCGTTCCAAGCCCAATTTGCATCTGTATATGCCTGACGGCTAGGAATAAAGGGGCAGGCATCAAACGAAATAAAACCAAGTAAGCATGTGAGATAGTAGATAAGATGGGCTTAACGCCAGTTCACATACCTCATTCATCTACTTATCATCATGAAGAAAATGAAAAAAGAGGAACTTTTAATTACCAAAAAAATTAATAAAAATCATAGATGCCGCAAATTCCAAAGTCAGATAATCAACTAATAAACACACTGCTACTGCTAAGAAGGAGTAAATAATTGGCAAATATAGACAAAAAACGCCTCTAAAATAGATACTAAGTGCCCATCCAGAATACACAAAGTGTAATAAAGATACAGAATTAACTTGCTGGTGTAATAAAGACAAAAATGTATCCAAAAGTATAGTAATATGGCTGTAATGGTACTATTGCCTAGAAATAATTGGCGAATAAAACCAGAGGAAACCTCTAAAGTAAATACTGAGTACCCATCCAGCGAAAAAGTACAGTAAAGATACATAGTTAGCAAGCTAATACACTATAAAAAATATATATAAATCCCTAGATTGCTAGGAATATAAGCAGTCCATCTATAATAATAATTTTTACCTAGGGATGGTATATCTGGATAAATGGAGGGCACAAATAAGGGGCTTGATGTCTAAACAGTCACTCAAAGAAAGCAAGTGAAAGTTAAAATCCTAAATTTAAGGACATCAGTGATAACAGATAGTGACGAAAAACAAATTAAATATATAAAAATATATATGTATTATTAACAAACGATAAATCATAAGAGAAGTTATTATACAAGAATTCTCGATAACTACATTCAGATGTCGTTTTAAAGTCAGAGATCGCTAATAAATGGGGAATAGGAAAAACCTTCATTTAGTCCCATTGGAGACAGTGTATTAAGGCGATAGATCCAAAAACACTCTCGTCTTCGAAGAAGCTTATCTAGGTTTCCTTTTCTTTGGTCCAATTTAACCAATTCGATACCCAGAAATTGGAGTACCATGTGGTCTCCTTGATGGAAATTTTTGACATGTCTGGACACTGTAGTCTCAATTTGTCTTGGAGTCTTAACAGAATTTATATGCTCCAAAATCCGTCTTTTAAAGGGCCTGAAAGTTTTGCCAACATATAATTTACTGCATTGACATTTAATCAGATACACCAAGGCTTTGGAATTACAGTTAAAGAACGAGTTCGGATGAAAAGTGTCGGATTGGGAACTATTCTGAAAGCTTTTTGAGTCCTTGCAGATAAAGGTGCAAGCTTTGCACCTACCACATCTGTAAGTTCCCAAAAGCTTATTTGATAGCCAATGAGTAGAGGTCATTTTAGATGTTGAAAGTGACTATGTACAATTGCATCTTTAATATTCCTGCCTCTTCGTGCAACAAGAGTTGCGCTGGGGGGAAGGACTACCTTAAGATGTTCATCCTGTTTAAGTAAGGGCCAGTATCTATTCAGGATGGTCTTAACTTGTTCCCATCCCGAATCATAGGTGGCAACAACTTTCAGATGATTATGCTCTGAAGAATTATGACTGGAAAGTGGATTCGTATCTTTTAACAGATCGTCTCGATCAGTCAACAGAGCTCGATGGTAAGCCTTTTTCAAGAATTTATGTGGGTACCCTTTAGCTCTAAACATTAGGCGTAGTTGTTTTGCTTCTAATTTAAAGTCTACAATATTGGAACAATTGCGTCTCAGACGCAAATATTGTCCGATCGGTATGCCTCTTTTTTGAGCTGGTGGATGGTAACTGTCCCAGTTCAGTAGGCTATTGGTGGCCGTACTTTTCCTAAAGAGATTGGTCTCAATGCTTCTGCAGCACCGAAACGCGCGTCGGGCTTTAGCTTAGTTTTCACTTATATTCACTTATGGTGGCACTATTTTGAACCACTTTATTATTTTATTTTATGTTTTGTTAGCACTGATTCTCCTATTGTATATGGGGGGGAATTTATAGCTATACTTTATCGGCTATCTGCTCTATTATCTAGGGACAGACTAGAACGCCCTCGAAGGCGTTTATTTTTAGGAGCATTAGGGATTTTATAGATATTTATCTTTTCTCTGCTCCTCTCTTTATTTATTTTTTGTTTATTTCTAGATGTCCTACTTATACTCATGTAGCACTAGATCAAGTCTATGAATAATAGTCTGTGTCATTCTTTAGCTTTTGAGTATTTGTTTAATAGTTGCAGTTTAGCCTTGGTATCAGGCAGTAATTTTTAGCCTTAACCATTGGATTCTGATGATTTTTTTCGACAGGGATACTATATAGTTCTACAGGGTACTTAATTTATTTGTTAATATTAGTATTACAACTTAGTATATATTTATACTTGTTAGACCCTTTCTCTTTAATACTCACCTGCAGTTTATCTCATTCATATGACTAGCATATCCCCCTCTCAGTCTATTTGTAGATTCAATCAGTAAGATACTCTTGCCCGTATCTAGGAACTTTGCTGCTTTGATTTTTTGGTAATTTAATAAAGCATTTGTGCATTTTCATTTTCCTGCAGCATCCATGACTATTATCAGGGCTAGAGGCTTACGTGTATGTATTGAGACTCAGTGTTAATTTGGGAACACATTTATTATAGAATATCTCTTTATATACTGCTCTATCTAAAATCAGTTTGGAGTCTCTTATTATAGATACTCCTAATATATTTTTATTTCTTTATTCTCTATTCTGGGTTAAGCCCTATTTAGGTGGATCTGTAACCACCACTTCTGACCTCCACTTTTAAATTTTCTTACATTAATCAGACCTACTGGTTTGATTGGAGTCAAACACTTTCTGAGACAAGAATCTCTCCATTTTAGAATTTCTTTTCTCTCCCAGTCTATTGAAGGATTATGCTGGGAGAGCCAAGGGAAGCCAAGAATAACAGGAAAGATGGGAGAAGTGATTTGTTGCAGGGTTATAACCTCCTTATGAAGGGAACCTATGGACAATACCCGTGGAATTGTTTCTTGAGTGATTAGAGGTACCGACAGTGGTCTACCATTTATGGCCTCAACGGGCACGGGTGCGGATCTATTTTGAAATGGGAGAGCATGTTTTTGATCGAATTCGTGATCCAGAAAATTCTCGGCTGCCCAGAATCTATTAAGGCAATGGTTGATACCTTTTTTCTTTCCCATTCTATAACCACTGGTAAAAGAAGCCTAAGATCTTTCTTATCATTGAAGGAGGACATACACATAACACCCAAGGCCTGTCCTCTTTGAGGGCTTAGGTGCTGGAGTTTTCCGGCCGATTAGGACATGTTAAGCGGGAATGTCCTTTTTTGCCACAATACAGGCATAACCCCTCCCTTCTACGGTATTGCTTCTCTGTCTCAGACAATCACGTAACTCCCAATTGCATTGGCTCTGGAGGAGTAACCGCTGTTGTCTC